TCCGGAATCTTGGTTTTGGGATTCTCGGGATCCGGATCCTTGGTTTTGGAATTCTTGGAAGCGGGACTCTTGGCTTCGGGATCCGGAATCTTGGTTTCGGGACTCTTATTCTGCGAAAAAATGGTTTTGGATCTTCTTGGACATCATTGCTTCTGAAAGAAGACATGAGAAGGAAGTTATAACTACATTTTCTTCAGTATGGGCAATATATGGAGTAACCAGCTGATTTATTTCCAAAAATAAACTAAATCAGAAATATTATCTCTTTTCGGAAAAAAAAAAGTAACTGACGATCATCGTCCACACTTAGAAATGCCTTCATTCCGATAACACAGATTGCATGGTGGCTTAAATTTTCGATCCAAACTCGAATGCAAATGAAACTGATTTTTTGATTAGCTTTTCTCAAACATTTTACAGCTATCTTAGTTGTGTACATTTACTTAAACGAAGAATCGTTTAATTAATTCTTAACCCAAATTATCTTTTTCCCTTTAGCCAGAGTATTCCTTGTTGGTGGGTTGGGGTTGGCGTCTGATACCTTTAAATGAAAGCCAACGCAGTGATACAAATTAAAAATGTCCGCGTTTGTGATGGCAGAAAAAACACTCACCCATTTGCATCCTCTTCACTCTCTTCATCTTCATCATTGTCAACTTCATCTTCGTCGAAATGATTGTAATCGCTCAGATCATCTTCAAATCTTTCATCTGCATTGGCGTCGACTGCATCCTTCACTGCGCCATAATCGTCGGATTGTTGGGTTTCATAGGCAGCTTTTTCTAGGGGTTCATACGATACAACAACTTGCAAAGATACAGCCGCGCAGAATGCCACAAGGGCGGAAAGAACGAACTTGTTCATTCCGGTCCTGTTCTTGCTTGGTTACCAAACAACTTAGCAGCTCCTTTGTAGAAGCAGTGCTACTCTGATGATTTTTTTCGTTGTAGAGGAACATTTATATTGGCGGGAATCAGGAAAAACGTGCAAATAACTTCAAAATATTGTTCCAGTAATTGATTATACCGGCCTATTTAGTCAACACAAACTTTTTTGGGTTCTACTTGCTCCTCAAGAAGACTTTACGTTTTTCCTTATTTACATAAAACTTCTGGTAGATGCGCTATTTTAAGATTTCTGTTGTACTACTCGAGATCCTTTGTATTTCTTTTATTAATCTATCAACTCAGAGGAATGTATTTTCCTGAGAAAAATTACATATTTTGTTTAAGTTACAAGAACGAAAATTTGCATCGCTGTTTCATTGATGTACCACGTTTTAGTTTTCGTTCTTTTCGATGCAATTTTTTTTTACTTTTTTTGCTTTTAGTGAGCTTTTTCTTTGGTATTTCTTGTGTCGTGGGCAATTGAGCCTATATTACGTAATTTAAGGGAGAGATTCACATCGAAATCAAAATTGGCTATACCGGAAAAAGTATATTTTGTTGCTGTTTTTCTTGATGTTGAGAGACTTCGATTGTTGCGTAAATGTAACGAGGTTACCAATAAAGCTGACGCACAAAAGTAAACAATAATTAATGTAATACTCAGAGCTACGTTTTTAAACAAATGAAGGGGTGCACCATTTACATTGTTGCATACTAAATAAATACTTTGTCTATGTTCTTTTTGATGTTGGAACACTTCGATTGACGTGCATAGTTG